GGAAGGGAAAAAGTGTGGCTACTACAAGTCGATCCCTATCCCTAATTGATGAAGATGAAAGTGCTCATGAAGAGGAAGAGGAATAAGATGTTGATTCTAGTAATTTAGTAGCTTTGATTTTGCTTGTCCTGTGGTTTGTGGAGGATTTGGTGGTACCTACTTTTAAGTTTTTAAATTAAACTTTTTGATTATTTATATTTTGTCTTTGCAAGGTTTACATTATGTTTTTTAAGAATTGCGCTTCACTTCAATGAAGCGTGCGGTTCGCTTTGCGCTTCGCTTTTGAAGCGAGGCGAGCCCCTGTCGCTTTTTTGCGCTTCTCACTCTCAAAAACACTGTGTTGAGCATATCTGAAAGGCGAAAAGTCAACGACACACATGGCTGGATAATCTAATGGATCGTCATAAAACTTTGGTGGTAATTCCTCAAGTTTTGGATCCAATGCATGTATCTCATCTCTTTGATATTGGTCTTCATCAGTTTTGTCCTCTTCATTCCCTTGATTATCTAAATATTTATCATATTGGGCATGGTGCATTGGTACTCTTATGCCTTGGTCGGCTTCAACCTCTTCAATTTGCTCAATATATCTTGCTCTGTGCGGTTGAATTGGTGGATACCGAAATGGTAGACGTGGCGGTAGCATTTGTATGTTGTGTGGTGATTGAAGCTCCAAACCTTCAACCAATTCAGTCAGATGCATTATTGATTATGTCAAGCTATTTAACTGCAATTTAGTTTCTTCATTGTCTCGCTCAAGGACTGTAGTTCTTAATTTCTGAATTTTTAATTGAAGATCCATTGAAGAGGATCACAAATTTGCTATTTTCTTGTTTGGTGACACGATGAATGAGATAGCAAGTCAAGAATTCGAATCTGGAACCTGTGCTCTGATACCAAATTGATGTATTTTCAAGGTTTTGCACCTCTCAAGTAAAAAGAAGAGAGAAAAACAAAAGCACCCCGCTAAAGTTTTTCACAAAGCTAGCGAAAGCGTGCTTCAAACTCACGTTAGAAGAATGTAAGATGGAAAGAAACCTCACCCACACGTTTCTCAATCCTGCAAGATTGGAAGAAGCGTTGAATAAATGAAGAAGAATGAAATAAAAGATCAATCACGTTTTTGGAAGCAAAAGCTTGGAAAAACTAATCACCAATATTTATTTTCAGCATAATAAGTCCTTTAAATAGGCCTTACAATGAGTAAAATTGATAAGGTTAAGAAAAACTAATCCTAATTAAACTAGAATAAAAATAAGATTAAGAAAACTTATCCTGCCTAAAATAGGAAAAAGAATTCTAGTAGGAATGGGATACCAACTAACAATCCTAGTTTGACTAGAACAACAAATATAATCCTACTAAAACAAAAATTAAATTACTAGGAAACAAGAAATAAGAAATCCCAATCTTTAAGGAAAAGAAATCCTAATCTTGAATGGATTCTTGGACTTTTTCAATTTCTTGAAGTTCTTGGTCTTCTTGATTTTGCATCAACAACTCTTTTTTTTTCTTGGGGAATCTTTAGAGTTCCTACCGCTAACTTTCAACTCTGTCTTTGGTTATGATGAATCTACATAGATCATGATCACCAAAAATACTAGTTATCTCCACTTCTTGGAGTTTTGAGTTTTCATATCATGGTTGGAGACACACTTGAAAGCTCATGGCACGTGGGGTTGGATTTGCTGTGTATATTGCCTAAGTTCAGGTGCAATGATTTTATAAAGCAGTATCAGCTTCAAGGATATTATTCATAAACGCGTTATCAATAAAAAATTTGTGTTAAAAGATTCTAGAATAGCGCTTCTCAATTGCAGGAAGAGGTAAAATGTGTACAATTCTAGGGAAAACTAACTGAGAGAAAAGAAAAAGAATGCTTGTTATGAGGATGACAGTAAAAGGTGGGGCAGGAAGCATGATACCAGAAATGATGCATGATCATAATAAAGTGAACCATGGCTAGTACACGAGACATTTTTCTTCAAGGCTTGCTGGCAATTTTTCGTGGATGTCTAGATGCCTTTATCCCTGTGTTAGCTAATATGACCCCTCAATGTAGAGAGAAATAGCTAATTATTATACCAAAAAATGGAAGCTAAATGTACAATTCTTAATGATCCATATATGGAAGGTTACATTTGGTTTTTAGCCGTTCAAAAAGAACGTGCAATTGTTTTGAATCTCCGGCCTAGAGAAGGTAGGCAAGGTGGATTTGGGGGGGCAGCAATCTGCATTGACCACTTTGCTTTTCTTCTGTTGCAAATAAAACCCGATCACATGCTTGGTGCCTTTGGAATAGTTGAAATGGGATTAAATAATATCCTTCTGGATGGGGTGGTGTCACCATACACTCATCCTTCAGCTTCTATAACTTATATCAGCAGTATTAGGCTGTCATTGCCTTTAACTCTTTCATTCGTACTATTAAGTATTGAAGCTGCTTAAGTAAGAGGTTACCGAAGAAAAAAAAATAAAAATAAAGCCAGAATGAATAATTTTGTTGCTGATTAATTCCAATTTCCAATAGGAAATTAGAATTACTGTTGCACATGAAATTAACAGTACTACACCTTCTTTAAACCTTTTGAAGAACGAGGCTAGATCAATAGCATCATTAGGTCGCATAGAGCCCTGCTTTAGTGGCACAACAAGCGAGTAGGAGGATAGTCCATATGAGTTATGTGATATGTATGATAGAAATAAAGTGACTATAATTCTCTACAAACAGTGAAAGGTTAGCAGAAGATGTTGTACTGTTAATTTCATGTGAAATAGAATTCTCTTTGTACTTTAGAATTAGAATTACTGTTGTGTGTGAAATTAATAGCACTACATGTTCTGCTAACTTTCCCCACTTGTGGGATTTCACTAGGTTTGTTGTTGTTGTATTCTGCTAACTTTCACTTTTTTGTAGAGTATCCTTTTTACTTTATGTCTGCGTCAGGGCTATATGCATATCGCATAATTGGTATGGACTATCATACTCTGCTTATTGTGCCTCTAAATTAGGGCTCTATATGACCTAGTGTTGATACTGATCTAACCTCGTTTTTCACATGGTTCTTTCTATGCATTTGAAATATGTGGCCGCATACCTATATTTTCCAATGTAATTGTGTACTAAGTACCATTCTCTTTGTATTTTGTCTATCAGTTACGTATGCACGCCTTGTTTCCATCTCCTCTCTTTTTATTCAAGCTAAATTTCTGCAGGAAAATTCTACAACTCATTCTAGAGAAGTTTAATAGTTTCTGGCATTCTATTGCCAGTAGTTATGTTCAAGAAAAAACTTATCCAGTTGTATTAATGGGAACTGTCTTCCGTAAAAAGCTTTCATACCTTGTAGGTTTCAAACTTCAACCAATTCACATCTACTAAAGTTTCTTCCTTCCAAATTCCGATCCAATAGTTCTGAACAGAAAGTCTTTTTGAGTTATCAGAACCTAGTAGTTTGTGACCTCAGCATCTCGAAAGAAACACAACTCGGAATTGATTATAAGGTGCATTGGATGATTTCCCCTCTGTACTTTTAAATGAGAAATCTGGATCCAAATATCTTCAATCTTGGAACAAATCTAATATCTACTTTAATAAGCCAGATTTTGCTCTGGTATAATAACAAATATTCCTGGCTATGATCAAGAAGAATTAATTACTCTGTATGAACTGCACAAACTACTGATTGCAAATTTGCATTAGTTTCCAGTGCTGCAAATCGTTCTCCATCTTCTGCTCTTAAAGCAAGATTTTCTTTCTCATTGCTGACATTTCTCCTTCCCTCAACCAGAATGGAAGGGAATTTCTCATACAAGCAAACACTCAGAAGCGGCGCAAACTCGAGGATGACAACAGCTCAACTTCATTTGAACATGTGGAGGTATATCTTATATTTATATGCTATGTTTTATATATAACGTCTTACTCTTCTTGGCAGTTTCTTTAGGTGTGAAGCATTCTAATAACTGAGATACTCTCTTTTACAACTGTTGATTTGCTAGCCATGTTATCTTAGGGTGTTTTTCAGCTTACCCTTCTGGAAGAATGTATATGCTAATGCTGAAGGAAATACTTTTTGTAGACAGCAGCTGATACTGTGAAAAAGATAGTAGACAATACAGACACAAGCAAAGTGGGTTCAGATGTGAATAGACGGAAACAAAGCCGTGTCAAGGGACAAACTAATTCTGGTAGAGGACGTGGTTCCCGAGTTAGTGATCAGACCAAGTCACAAGCAGTTTCTGTGTCAAATGGTCAGCTCGAGAACTCTTACCAGAAGGTGAGTTTTTCCTGGCATGATTTTAGGTTTGTTTTAGGATAATATGAGTATTAGTAGTGATTGAGCTTGAAAAGATAAGTGTAAAATATACTGGCAAATGTTTGTCCAATACCATTGACAGTGCATATGGATAGTACTAGAGAAGATCCTGCTTTATCAATGTCAATTCTGAAATATTTAAGCTTAATATTAATACATATTAGTGTTACGGCTGATATTTTCTGCTGTTCATTTCTTTGTTGTACCTTTACAATGGTTGAAATCTGGACTTATGCTGCTAGTTCTACATTCTATATGCTGAAACAAATTTAGTTTTCATTGTTGTAATGTGTTTCCTTTTTTCTTATGTCTTCCTTTATACCTTAGCTACTCTTGTTTCAGCAGATTACTGGGACCATTTGATAATAGCTATTCAATGTTTAATGGATTATCACTTAAGATGACTACAATTGAACAAATTTGTAACTGGATGAGATATTTTTGGGTGGTATCTTCAATTTACTCTTGTGATTTAGTAAGTTTTGTGAGAAGGCACGGGAGAAAATATATTATTGATATTAGATGTTCAATACAATACAAGAGGTCCTTATTTATAGCTATACTATACAAGGACATACTACTCCTATTCCAATGTGGGACAAGACTACACTATATACATAGCTGTAAACTAACAC